GGACCAGGACCGACCGCATCCTGGGCGTATAACCGCCGCCGCCGCCGCGGCCCCGCCGTTGTTCATGACGAACTGTTGCGGTCGCCCGCCACGCCGCACGGTCCAGTTGTGGCCTCCAGCTGCTGCGGCCGCTGGTTGTGGTGGTGCGGCCTGGACGGCGGACCGCCACGCCGACATGTCCTGGTGATGGCCGTCAGTGCTGCTGCATCGGTTTGGGATGGCCTGGATCTGCAGCGACCGGTTGATGACACAGAGGTTGACCCGCCATGCGTGCGGTTTGGCGATGGCGATGCTCGCCTGTGCGCGGACCGAACTCGCGTACGACTCGCCGGTGGGACGGCCGAACCTGAGCATGATGTATCTTGTCCGGCAACGCGGAATGTCGGAGAAGAACTGGATGATGTCCGTGTTGGGACGGGGTGAAACCGTAACGCACAACGTTGAGCGGACTACCGGCGCGGCGCCCGACATGTTCGGAAGCGGCGGCGGCCCCGCGGCCGAGAAAGGCTGGCGGTGCGGTGGCTTGTTGCCGCCGCCGTGGTGGTGAGTGGTGACGGTGACAGCGCCACCGCTCCGCTGTTCGCTCGAAAGCGTCCTGCACGCCACCGGTTTGCGCGATCTGCTGTCTGCTGGGGCACCGCATACCGAACCTGGCGTGGGCCCTAACCACCGGTGACTGCCGCCGAGCGCCGATCGGCCGCTTCGATGCTGGCGAATTCCACCGCGGCGCCATGAACTCGCCGTCCGGATGAAAGTCACGGCACGTCGTTGCCGCCATCGAACTCGTTCATTACGTCTTCCTCGGTCACCGTGATCGGCTTTGAGTTTAGATATTTGTCGGCGGTCTTTCGTTGTTCGCCGTCGCCGTCTCGGCCGACGCCGCGTCCTGTTCGCGCTCTTTGCACACTACCAGATCGTTGTCTTCTCGTCATCGTCGTCGTCGTCGTCGTCGTCGCTTTCCGTCGTCCGCCTTGAACTTTGTTCGGTTTTCTGTCGGGACCGATGGCTTGGCCAGTCGCGACTTCGTCGTCGTCGTCGTCAGCTCACAGTCCACGTGATCAACGCGTTCGCGGCCACTGCCGCTGGGATCGGGCCGTCCGTGATTGTCCGCCTCATATACCTCGTCATCCAGGTGTTTGACCACCATGTGGTTACCCTATACATGGTTCGTTCCTTGGCCAGACATATTTTGGTTGTTGTCGAACCGGACGAACGCCACGCCCTGACGGTGTTTTGCATCTTGATCGCTGACGTATCGGTGGCTATGCCATGGTGCCTGGTGACCGTGGTGACGGTGACGGCCGCCACCGCTACCGCTGTTATCGCTCGAAAAGCGTCTGCTGCCGCCACCGGATTTGCGCTTGATCTGCGTGTACTCTTTGTAGGTGCACCGCAGTACCGGAACTGGCGTGGAGCCCAACAACACGCAGTCGTACCGCTTGAGCGCCGACTCGGCCGCTTCCGTGCTGGCGAATTCCACCGCGGCGCCCATGAACTCGCCGTCCGGATAGAAAGTCACGCGGCGCACGTCGTTGCCGCCATCGAACTCGTTCATTACGTCTTCCTCGGTCACCGTGATCGGAAGCTGTTTGAGTTTCAGATATTTGGTCGGCGGGTCTTTCCGTTGTTCGCCGTCGCCGTCTTCGGCCGACGCCGCGTCCTTGTTCGCGCTCTTTTCGCACACTACCAGATCGTTGTCTTCGTCGTCATCGTCGTCGTCGTCGTCGTCGTCGCTTCTCTCGTCGTCCGCCTTAGACTTGTTCGGTTTTTTCTTGTCGGACGATACCGATGGCTGGCCAGTCGCGACTTCGTCGTCGTCGTCGTCGTCCACTAAGTCCACGTGATCAACGACGTTCGCGGCCACTGCCGCTGTAGGATACGGCCGGTCGTCCGTGTTGTCCCGCTCATATGCCTCGTCATCCAGGTGTTTGACCACCATGTGGTTACCCTTATACATGGTTCCGTTTACCTTCATGGCCAAATTTTTATTTTGGTTGTTGTCGAACCGGACGAACGCCACGCCCTGACGGTGTTTTTGTATCTTGATCGCTGACCCATCGATGTGTATGCCATCGAACACTTTGCGGATGTCACCGTACGAAAATGGATTGGACATGTTGTTTACCTCCACACACAACCCTTCGTAGTGAGGCATTTGCGCGTTTCGTACGTCGTACCTATATCGGTCGTTATACCGGGGCGTTATCTTCTTGCACGACTCGTCAAAGTCGGCAGACCGCCCGTCGTCGTTATCTCGACGCGGCTGCTGTTGTGGCGCTTGATTGAATCTGGAAGGCTTTCCATTTTCGTTAATCGAACTGAATCTGGATGGTCTGCCTCTGCCACCACCTTCTTGGTTATTGTGGCCTCCGTACCTTGGCGGTTGCTGCTGTTGCTGATGGTTAAACCTGGGTCCACTGCCATTGCCGAACTCGTTAAACGGCCGCTGACCTATTCCGCCACCGCGGCCGTGCTGTCCCATAACGGGCGGCACGGCTTGTTGCGGTTTGTGAAATCTAGGACCACCCCGGTTGGAGCCAAACCCTCGTTGCTCGCGGAAATCTTGTCCAGGCGGTCCTCTTCTCATACCTGGGGGGGCGTTTTCATTGAACCTTCCCTGAAAATTGTTGTCGAATTCGGTTTGTCGATCGTCCTCGTCATCACTACCACCACCTCCAAATGCGTTTGGACGGAAATCGTTGTCCGGGACGTACGGCTGCTGTTGTTGACGAGAACGATTTCCACGGTTTGACGGCCATCTGTCCATCAACGGCGGTGGTTGTTGTTGTTGTTGTGGTTGATGAAAAGAATTTGGAGTAAGTACGCCGGGAATGATGGGTGGCTGGGGGGGTGACCTGAATTGTGTAAATCCGCCATGGCCGCCGGGTATTACGTTGTTCATCATAGTAGCTGGCTGATGATTTTCTACCGTAGCCATCGCTGCTTGTTGTTGCTGCATGTTGTCATATTGACAAGTCCAAGGATTAATTTGAGCCTGTTGATTACCAACCAATTTAGCGTCTGCACCCTTGTTAGCCACCGGTGATCGCGACCTTTGCGATTTGCCTCCACTTCCTCGGCTCGACGAGCTCCTGCCTTCTCCGCTACGATACCTGTCCCTAGACCTGTCTCTCCCTCGGCTTCGATCACGACGCCGTCGGTCTCTAGACCTCGATCTTTCTCGTCTACTACCTCCACTACGTGACGACTTGGATCGCCGCTCTCGGGATTTCGATCGAGATCGATCACTACGTTTTTGGCTCTTATCTTCACGATCTCTGTTCTCCAATGATTTCGGAGACAAAAGTTGTTGCTGCATTTGTTGCTGTTTATCTTGGGGCATAAGTACTGACATATTATTTATTAAAGGTTGTCTGCGTATCATCTGTGCATCGAGTCGATCAGGTCTCACCTGTTGCTGTGGCTGCGGTAAGACCTATGTAAGGGAAACATTAATATTAATCTGTTGTTTTTGAAAAGGAAAAATAGATTTATTCTCATTTGGATACAAATGTACACAATTATATACCTTAGCAGTCAACGGTGGCAATGACCCGACTATGGGAATCTGTGGCTGTTGCATTAAATTTTGCTGCATATAGGCGTTATACATAGTTTGTTGTCGCGCTGTATCAATGACTTTTTGCATCTCGTTACGCGAGCTCAACAGAAGTCTGATCTGAACGTCTTTGATACATCCGCCGTCTGAAAGCATAGCTTGCCTAGCATCTTCGTCGGTACTGCAAAATCGTCAAAATGAAAATAAGAATACAACGCAATAGAAGTCAACGTCGCGATGAAACTCGTTCGCCGCTGTCATTAATGATTGTCTGATAAATACTAATTTTTCTAATATACAAGTTTACCTGAAAGAGATGAAGACATCGCCTTTTTCGCCGCCGACGATATGAACTCCACCTTCAGGTATCGATAACCCTTGGAAATACTGTCTGATATCCGCGGCGTTGGCCGCCCAAGGCAGATTTTGCAATCTAATTATTACACTCATGATGGTTACTGAAAAAAAAAATGTTCGTTATAGACATGTGGTGTGAAAGCAGAGACGAATCACGATTTAATTATTATATAATACACAGTACAAATGTATTTTAGGACCTGGCATACCTAACGTAGAAAGTGATGAAAAACTGAAATTGCAATCTCATAAATCGCTTTAAGTAGGTAGGTACTATCGAAATAGTATAAACGACCTGAAAATTGCAATACGGCAATTCGTATATTTGTTTTGTAAGTACATTTAATAGTTTATACTCAAGATATACATTTTAAAATCGATATTATTTAGAAAAAAACAATTGGTTTTCTGATTCAATAACATTAAATATTATTTTTACTATTCGAAATACATTTATAAAACTATATTTTATTCTCATTAAAAATTTAATAACTATATAATGTATACTTGTAATATTTAGATGGTTAAGTGGTGAACTGACAAAATGTCATTCACGCTGAATTTTGAAACTAACACAATTAACGCTTCGTCAAAAATGAAGTCCGTGTGAAATTTATTTTATTTATTAAGATTTATTACGAAATAATCACAAATTTACTTTTAACAATAAACTACTAAAAAATCAATATTATTAGTTAATTATTTATTTTAACAAATAACTTAGAAACAAAAACGAAAGTTTACATTGAATAAAAAAATGTACCATCTGTATTATTTACTAAATATATTTAAAAACATACTATTTATTATTAACTTTTAAACATTTTAATTACCAACAGTTCGTTAGTAAAATAATACATTTTATTTATCGGGCACAAAAAAAAATCAACATTTGTATTATATTTGGACTTAAGCCTAAAAATTATAATTATAATTTTTCAAAAAAGAGTTTAAGCCTGAACATAAAATAAATAGTAAAAAACTTTAAAAAAATTCAAGTATAATTTAATATGTTTATAATTAAAAAAATAAACCGTAATCATGTTAATATTTTGTATAAAATCTCTATAGTATATCGATTTAAACTTAATAAGAAGATACTTAAAATTAATTTAAAACAATTTCTAATTCCCCAGTTTTCATTGGTTAGGTTAATAGTTTGGTAACTAATTTTTGAGTGGGGGTGCACTATTGGCCTGCTTTTGAGCGCAGTACATGGTTTGGAATTAAATACTCGGTCAGATTGCATGGGTAAAATATTTATATCGGTAAATCCTAGTCTGAGAAATACTAATGCAGGCGTATTAAATATACATTTCATAAGACAATTTATTAGGTAGAAATATACTTAATACTAATTTTTAACATTATTTCTAGGCAGATATACTAAAAAAAAATCATTTTTTCTTGTTTTAAGAATTTATATGTGCTGCTCGAACAGCATTCGCGTTGCTCTAAAGCAGTGTTTTCCATAGGGTGTTCCGTGAAATTTGAAAGTTATAAAGCGACACACTGATGTGCTGTAAAATTTGAAAGGTGTGCCGCAAAAAGTTGAACTTTTAATATAATCTGATATAAAAATTATCGAATTTTTGAAAATCGAAAATCGTGTTGTGAAAAATGTGTTTATCACACAATTTAGTAGGACACTTGATTGAAAATTGGGACATCTAATGATAGGTTTATATATCTATATACATATATATATATATAATATATACAGTATACACACACACATATTAAACTGACATAATATAATAATTTCTTTAATTTCATGCTTTATTGTAAATAACAATAGCAAATAGACTACCCTGCGAGTGTTTCTGCCATTGATCAAAAAAGAAACTGGAAATTTGATGTATCGATCATAAATAATAGTTCATAAACCAATTTGTAATAGAGCAATTTCCGGTCGAGTTAAGGTTTTTATACAACTTAAACAATACCTGAAAACTTCAGTAATGTACAATAGCTTTTCATACCTATACATATACATATTATATATATATATACAAGATGAAAAAACACTCATTATTTTAAAATGTAATAGTGTGTTTAAAAATATTTTTTTTAAGAAATTTCTAGTCGAAATAAAACGTTATTTTTAATTTCATATACTGTAGGAAAATATTTTTTTGAGTATTTTGGTACATAAATATCGAACGAATTAATAGTTTATTGCGTTTCAAAAACATAACTTTTTTAATTATATAGTCCATCATGTTGAATTTTTTTTTTTTTTTGCTATGATTATTTCAACCTCACTGAATACAATTTATTATTTAAGTGGAAAATAATATTTTTCTAATCAAATTTTTGGAAAAAAAACCAAAAATATTCAATACTTTATAACACTAAAACTTAGGTATAGATATGGATAATTGGCAGATTTTATCAATTTCTTTAAATACCCACAAGATCGGCGATTAACCAGCGGCCAGTGCGCAGAGTGAAACAATTTTTAAACTTAAGTAAAATCAAAAGTAAGTAATTCATTATAAACATACAAAATATATACAGACTCAAGTGTAAAACAGTAAAATATTTTTATTGTATAATGATAATATATCGCCCTGAATTAAAACCAATATATTACCTACACAATAATAATAGTTAGATATATAAATAAATAACACCCTAAAAAATGATATCTTCCCACCAACAAATTGTTAGGGGAAATTGTCTCCAGAAAATATGCTCGCGAAGTCACGATACCGCTGAGAGTATTTCACTGTAATAGATGTGTAAAAATTGAATGCAATGATAAATTATTGCAAACGAAAAATAATTCTAAAAAAAGACGGAGGTGAACTTTAAAGATATTTATTTAATTTATTTTTGAATTGGTAAAAAATACTTATATTTATTATCAATTATCAACAAAATAGGTTGAACTAATTTTTTTCCAAATATATCAAATAATTATTAAAATAATAAATTATATCACATATTATTATAATTTACTTAAAAGTAAATACTACCATATAGTAATACCACGTACTATTTTTGCAAAACACAAATCATATATATATTATTAGCTGTTATGACTTTTTTTTAACCAATATCTATTTAACTATTTTTATCACTCAAATTTATGTAAATTATCATTTAGCATAAAATATTTATCAAAATAAGTAAATTCCGATTTAATAAAAATCAATATTAAACTTAATTTTGTAATTTCAGTAAGAAACGCTTATGTAATATATTGTCGAAATTTTCGAATTAGAAAAAATTTGTCAAATAATATTATCCTATAATATCACAAAAATATTTTGAAAATTGTATTATTGACAAGAAAAGTATATGCGATTATTCATTCTTGAATAGCAATAAATAAAGAAATCAATTTGGCTTGAGACTGGCAGACAATACGTAAATACGACTTACAGAGTAATTTAAAAAAATTATATTAATACAAACATACGAAATATTTACTTTAGTGAAAACGGTGTAAATAATTTTGTAGTATAAATATTTTAAAATCAGTACTCGTGATTGTGTTGAAAAGGTTTTAAGTCCTACGGATAATGGGTTTTTAATTATAAAAATATAAATTTAGTTGTTATTATAAAATACATTATTTTTATCCTCATAATTGAACAGAGAAAAAATAGTAATAATAGAACCCCGGTATCAATGAAAAATATATCAATTGAGTCCATGATTGGTAATTGAAAAATTTACTTATTATTTTGTGCTAGGATTATTTCTGAATAAAATATAAGCTCAACCTTATTGCTTCAAAATTTTTTTAGTAGTATGCTCTTCCGACAGTTTACTGATATTTTATAAAATTACATATTCAAAAGTTGACATTATCTTCCATTTTTTTTTTTTTTTTAATGTGGGTTTTATTTATTCATTAATAAGAATCACTAAAAGTTGTAAATCATTCCACTCAAAATGCAATGCTATGTTTTTCTCGGACCATCTTAATATTTATTAATCTATAAATATTTTGTTAAATGTATAATGTGAAACATCTATCAACATAAGAAATATTCAGATAATTAATCCAATAAATTATGTATATATATATATATATAAATCAAAAAACAAATGTAGCTGCTTCATAAAAGTAAAATTCTACAATTTAAATATAATATAGACTTATAAGCAAGTAATAATTGAATTATATAAATATTATACCCATTAATTTACTATTATATTATATTTTAAGAAATCATTGTACATTAACGTATAGGTATTTATCATACCAAAATATATATTCAGACGTTTTAATTTTGTACTGTTACCTTAAATATTAGTGTAAATTGATCGATTTTTAAACTTAAAGTTAAGAATATTATTTGTGTTCTTTCGTTGGTTTCTCACGATATTTTGATTTTTAAGTGCATTATGATATCGACTGTTAATATTTTTAAATATTAATATTTTACATACTCATAACTTACTTAAAAATTAAAATACTATAAAAATTCAACGAGAGAACGATTATGTTCTTAACTTTAAGTTTGATTACACATAATTTCACTCTAATATTTAAGCTAATTACACAAAATTAGAACGGCTCAATGTATATTTTTGTGTAATATGGGTTATTAAGACGGAGACAACATTAGAGGACGTTATCTTAGCAACTGAAATACATACAATACACATATTTATCATTTTTTTTTTCAATTAATATAAAAACCTTTTTAAACTAAACCTGTAGAATTTAATATTACAAACATGTTAGTTTGTTTTTACTGCCTGTAAAAATATTTATGGTAATTTGATAGTAGTATTATTCAATACTTAAACTTAACATAATTATAAATAAAGGGCTTCGACGACTGTAAATTCATTATAGTGCTATTGTAACTTTTAATTAAAGTTTTCGTCGTAGGTACCCAATTGCAATTATTCACGAGTGTCAACTTTATAATGATAAACTTATAATTGATAAAATATTTCTATTATCTATATGAGTAATAACGACTTAATATTAAATTATTTTATCTATCCGTAAATGAATTCGATTTAATTATTATTTTTAACACAAAACATTGTATAAATATAAACGACATAATATGACTATACTATAAAATGAAAAACAATTATTATTATTAAATATTATCGGTGACGATTGTAATATAATATATAATATTTGTATTCTGCGTGTTAAAATAATATATTTTTGAATTACTCCCTACTCTATCCATAAATTTGATGCATTACCTTGATTTAAACAAAGCCTATACGAAAATGTAATATCATACAGACCAATTATTGTATATTGCACGTGATAATAAAAGAATATATATATTTTTCACTCTATCACTAACACAATATACTTACTTTCACGACGGATTACTTCACCATATAAATAAGTAAATCTAGATGAAAAAACGCTGAAAAAAAAACACTGTCTGGTTTTTGAAAATAATACGAGTGTATAAGACGTCCAGAACTGTTGCCAGTCTCGAGCCTGTAAAAATGGGGAGAAAATTGCTGGTTCAAACAAGCGATGAAATACATTTGTTTGTACAACTATATATAATCAGCCGTATTTAAATTATAATACACTTATACAAGATAGCATTTTGCTATATTATACAGAGGGTAAATTACTATTTATTAAGATACAGTCATATATATTTATACGTATTCAACGTGTAATCATTAATATCACCGATTGCGCATAATTTTAAAATAACTTTATTTCAGTACGATCAACAGATATGTATATATTTATTATTCATTGAAATTCGAATCCAATAGGCCGTATAGGTTGAATAGGTCTGTATCACCCAGTTTTGCTCCAATACTCTTTTGAAATACCAATTTTGTCCCAAAAAAACAAAAATATATACGATAAATACTAATAGAATCTACATTTGAAAAAAGCAAAACAAATATTAACTGTAGACATAAAATATGTAGGCGATTACGTGAAAATATTTTCATCATGTACGTAATTTTCATCGGATAAATATTTTATACTTACATTGTACAATGTAAAGATCAAAAATGCTTATAATTTAATTAGTAAAAAAGACTTTCTTTATAATTATTTGTGGGAAATTCGTGGCAAATATCATACTTAGTTTTAAACAAGTAAATAAATATGGATAGATTTGGGCAGCAATGAAAAAAAACATTTTACTTAAATTTGAACGAAATGATACGATGCGCTAAGGTGCAGTGTATAAAAAACCGAGATATTGATTCAGGTAAAATATAATCATCAAATAAATACTCCAGGAAGTAATTAAAATTGTCAGAAACGTATAAACATAGTTAGAGTATATAGACAATTTAAAATTATTCTAGTTTAGACTCTTACTATATATCCACAATAATATATATTATATACCTTAGTAAACACAATGTATACCTACAATGCATTATCATAAATAGCGTATTGTAATAATTATAGATCCGAGACGGAAAATAGATATCTCCAAGTTACTGAGGACCAGAATGGAACATAAAACTATTTATCGTAAGTGATGAATCACAATGTTCGCATTTAGCCTGGTACTTCTTTCTAGTACCTAATAACTATGCAGGGGTGCATGTATCATTTAGATCAAGAGACATCAACTGGCGGCCCGCGAGCCTTTTTAATCTAACCCGTGCTATATTTTCAAATTACATTATGAAATTTTAAACATAAAAATTCATATTTTAAACGAAATAAATGCTAATTAAAATAGATACATAATATGAATGATTTTTTTTTTTGCTTTCTATGATCTGACCAGCTAAATTTTAATTTTCTAAATATTGGCTTTCGAGTAATTTTGATTTGCCCATCCCGAATTTAAATTAGTAGTCTTCAATCGGCGAGTCGCGTATAAGCTTTAAAATAGGGTCGCGATAAATCTTCTTTTTAAAATAAAAATTAAGTTTAATAGATGAAATTATGTCAAAACGAAAAAGAATTGAAACTGAACTAAAGATGATTTACGGATCGCACTTAGTCAAATTGAGCCAAGGTGGAATTTATTATATGAAAATATTCAAGAACAAATATCACATTAAATTTTTTGTACCGTATTTTATTTTTATATTTTTTTGTATGAATTACATATATTATGTATTGGTAATTATTAAACATTCTACCTGATAAAAATTAATTTTTATTTATTCGATTAGAATAGTACTACTACAAAGCATTAAGCAATTACAGCTTTTTTTGTTTTTCTATAAAGCTTGCATGGATTGCGAAAAATGCAGGCCTAAAAATTTGGATTGGGAGTCAAAAAAGGTTAAAGACCATTGCTTTCTTTAGATCATAGATGGTTTCATATCCCAATAATTTACCGAAGTCTCTTGATAAGATCTACATTCTGTGCACACGAAATGTAAGCATTGTAAACTGTAATGTTTTAAGCGTCAATATGTAACGACTATACTCTATTCCAAATAAGTTTGGAACAATCAGTTATGTCAGCCCGCTATTATAGTCATCAGCTGTTTTATAGTCGGTCGGCAGCCTGAACTTGCCGCTGTGTAAAGGAAAGTTATTCGCAGTTTGCGCGTACGCGGAGTGTTGAAAAACATATGATCAGGCTATACACAAACGGTTCGTCGTCAACAGCGTTTACCTTCAGCAGATCAGGTGACAACCAGCAAATCATGGGGGTCGTACAATTATTTTAACCAGATTTATTTGGAATAGAGTATATTATACACTAGTGCATGCGCAGAAGGCGCATCTCATCCTGCAGATTCCTTTGACGTCAAATTGTTTAAACGGGCAAAATGGCTGAATCCATAGGTAGGTACGTGATCCAAGATGTATCTGAATTAAACGTAGATAAACGGTTTTTTTTTTTTTTTAAGTGTACCTTCGTGATATATATAATCGGTCGTTCACTTTATATATCATTATGGACAGCAGTAAAGAGTATTACGCAATTTCATTTCGTACAAAACCTCAACAAGCAGAGTGACAAAAAATATTTTTGACAAGTTTATCGTTTTGCGTACCTACGCAATACACCACGTATGTATACTAATATTTTGTTTTATAATTAATAATCATAATATATCATAGTATTTCATATTATAATATTATACTTGGCTGTAGAAACGGACGGCCTGGCAGGACCACCGAGACAAATCCTTGTAGCCCGTTACAATATTTAATTAAATGTCATAACGAGATTTTAGGAATTAAAAATATAGCATATAAAATAACATACGAATATAATATTTATAATGCATAAATACGTATTTAGAGTATCTGTTAGTGTGGTTTTAAGCGTCATAATAATCGATAATTTTATAGTATTATGAAGTAATCAAATGTTTTCTCGATAAACTATTTTATATTTTGTTCAGGTAATTTATACGATGTACGAAATATACATAACAGATATTTACGGACGAATTGCTAGTAACTATAGGGACTTATTTATAAGCTATAATTATTATTTTTTATACTCGCTATAACTAATAACGACGGCACCGCGCACAGGCTCGCTCGAACTTATCACAAATAGCAAAAATAATGTTGCAATGTAATGTAGTTTTCCGTATTTTATTTTAATTGTTTGCGTTAAATAAGACTACAATATATAAGACAAAACCGAGAAAACTAGTGATGTTATGAAAAAAAAAAAAAAATTAAACAAAGTTAATTCAATACAGGTAGTACATTGAAATGTGTACCGTGTACATTTATATCTGTATTAAATGTTGAACATATTTTTTTTTAAATAATAAAGGTTTTTTCAACATTATTATATTTTTTACGTACACAAGACCTGCTTGCTTTTAATATGCAAACGACCTATGCGCTTAATACGCATAAGTATTAATAAAAAACGATTTCTCAATGTATGATCAATTAATATGACTATTGTACCTTGAGTTACTTAATCAAAATTTTTTATCATTATTTATTTATATAAGTTTTAGATTTCGATCGACTTAATGTTATGAGATCATCACCAAAAATACAAACGATAACAACGAAAAACCGTTTTCGAGTAATTTACTATTCCAAAATTGTTCACAGAAACTTCATCCTTATAGTCTTTTGAGCCACCTATTGTTATTTTTAATTATTTTGAGGAAGTATATGTAGATTTAAGTAAAATAAATTATATTAAATTTTATCAAAGTTTATGATTTATAAATTTAATAACACAACTTTATCAAATATATATTTTTTTTTATTTATATGATTAAGTTGTTAATCGATGTTCATTTATTTAGTTATATCATATATTTTTTAATTACCTCAGGTATCTAATTATAAAAAAAATAATTACCTGTCCCTTATTGTTAAATTTTATTTGATAGCATGAATACAATTTTAACATTATTTATGTTTTTTTAGTTGATTTCCTCGTTGTTTTTTTTCATTTAACATCAAAATAATTTTTTTAAATACCTAATTATAAACTTAATTTTATAATATAGATAAGTAACAAGTTTTTATGCAAAATAAGTGGGGTCTGTCAAATAATTAGTAGTTTTAAAAGTTGGGATAAAAAAATTAAAAATACTTATTTACTTAAAAATTAAAACACATTTATTGAAGGTCAGTGGCTAACTTTTAATGCCTAAATTAACTTAAAAATAATCAAAATTAAAAACTGTCCAAGTTGATGCATTAAACAGTACATAACATAGTTCAAACTTTATATACAGTGGATATGTATACATTTTTTTATCTAATTCTATTCCAAAAATATCTGTTACATATAAAAATATAAGTAATACACTAGTGTCATATTTTCAAAATACAGTATATGCATACTGAATTGATTATTAGTTAGTTTAAATTTATAAATTCATGCTCTATTTTTGATTAAATATATTTGTATAATAGGTGGTTTGATATAATATTGTGTTATCAAACAAGTAATAATACATTATTACGTGTTTTATTAGGTATATAATATAGAACTTAAATCAATTTGTAGATATTAAGTAAATTAAAATAAAGAAATACGCAGTGGTGCACAAAGGTTTTAATTCAAGTTTAATTTCCTAAAATGGGATAGTATCTATAATATAATAAAATACTTAACATTTTTGCTGTAAAAAATTATATTTAGCACAGAAGAATTCATATTTTGAGTAAATTGGTCATTAACTTTTAGTTTAACCTTTAAATTCAAAGCCATTCAACAAGTAATTAAATACTCTACATTTTATATTGATTAATAATTTAATCAATAAAAATATTGTATTGTATATTTAAGATTTTTTAGTCTAATCAGAGCAGCTTTTAATATAATTTTTTTTTTTATTATTATATTTTGTGTAAGTGGAGACCTTTTGATAAGATAAATTCATAAATATTCAACAAATAATAGAATAAGGTAGCAAATCTTATTTAGTTTTTTCTTTAAGGTCAAGAATTAGAAATTATTTATCTAATTTGATTTACTATAAATATATACATACATTTTTAAATTTTGGTTATAAAACCACCTTATGATTTTGGGTTAAATAAGCTATATTGAAAAAATTATTTCTACTGCAGAAAGAAATATTATTATTATTGAAGAGATGCATCACATTATTATCTTATAATGACCAAACATTATTCTATCAATATTCAAGATGCCTATTTCAACAATTAAAGATTTATTTGATGTAGTTTTAAAGAAAAATATTACTATTGAAGCGTATTGCAGAGTCCAGTTAAAAAACTCAATATTTTCATTTAAAATTTTAAATGATTAAGTAAAACTTTTTTTTTAATAGATCCAATAGGTGTATATTTCTCTAATTTTATCAATTTGTGTGGCATATGTTATTATATTTTACTTAATATCAATTAGCATGATCGAATGGAATATCTATATATAATATAGTTAACTATAGTAACCTGACTTTCAATTCAATTACTGATCAATAAAATCAAAGGATTATTTAAAAAAATCGTTCGGGTGATGGATCATGCAGAATTAGCTTAAAAAATATAAAAAATAGCCAGAACAGATAATAGCTTTGAGTTAAAATGATTAATTATACAAAAATTAAATTAACTGTATAACAATTTTTAATTCAAAAACACTATTAAACGCTATTCTCAAAATTCGAACTAACTGTTTTTAGAAGTTTGAGTTGACAATTGTGGGACGAATCATTAAATAGTAGACATTTGGTTTGATTTTAATATGAGCTCTCTATGATTTCAGTTAAAAAACTAGTCAGATTTCAACTGTCGAATATTTTTAGCAACCATTAATTTATCATAATACATTATATGCATATTACCTTACAAGATGGTAGTACATAAATCATTTAAACTTAAATCGTCTTTTGTATAAAACAGCCATTAAAATAATTATCAAATGTTTATTGATCGAATATCACACATGTTAGTACCATAATGTACAAAAAATCTATCATGTACTCATGGTTTTTTGTATAAAATTTCAATATAATTGATACACGTTGATAAGGAATAGATTAACGTAAATAAAATATCCACAAAAGCATATAATTAATAAAGAAGTAGATATCGAAGTTAAATAATATTGTTTGCTAAACAAGATAATATGCATCATCTCAAAGCCATAAGTATTTCTCAGATAGGATTGTAAATTATGGTAAAGAATATTTCAAACTAATATTTATTATTAAAATAATCCTAAATTATAACATAATCATCAGTCATCACGAATAAAATAAATCTTGGTTATATCAAAATGATAGTATTACAAATGAACAATATAACCTATTATACATTGTATAGTCGTAGTGATTATCTTTTTAAGGTTAAATTTATCAGTGAGACTTTTTTTTATACATTAGATAATTGAGGCAATAACTATTCACATTATATACATTTAATGTATCTATACCTAATCTATCCAAAACTACAAATCAATAAAATAAACACATAGAAGTTTGTTGATAAATAGTACCACCTACCTAATAATCTCTGTTTATGATTAATTATTATCAATTATTTGATTTTAACAATTGTGTAGGCGTTACGTGTCTTGGGTATCATCACTTATACGGTGGAAGTGATGACTGCCGTTTTAAGTCTTAACTGAAATTCTACTACCCAGTGGCGATGGGTGTCACAATGTACACACCGCCAATTACCACATATTCAAACCATTTAAATTATAGAGTGGACAAATCAGTATTAAATGCACGCCAATATTCTTTAGAGCATAGTTTACACCTTATAGAAGCCTACCTAAACTTAATAAAATTCAAAATATATTAACAAAAAAGCCACCAATTTCTACAAATTACAAAATGCAAGAGTGTCCGATGATTTAGTCTTGTATTTATTACTAAGACTGCTGCATAACTGATGCTTGCACTGCTGGCCACCTCCAAAGGGTGTGTGGTAAGTTAGATGCAAAATACAAGTATCTGAATAAATCTATTTCATAACCGTGCAGTCAAGTTACTTAACATATACTTTATTTATAGTTTCTGCAAATTTTTATTTGATGTTTAAATGTTGTTTAGGTGTAATAGTCATATGTCAATTAAAAAAAATATATTAATTAGTGATAAATGATAACATTACCAAATTAGAAATAAGTTGAAACTGAACAAAAGAATATTTGTTAAAACAGCCATAATACTATTCAATTAATAAAAAAATTATTAAAAATTAACCTATTGAAAAATATAGATTGTTTAATGTTTATACTAAACTCAACTAAAGTATAAATATGTATACATAATATACACAATATAGTTTAGTAATTAACAATGGAATATTACCAATGACATTTATATTTTGACTTTCAAGTATAATATCCAACAATAATACATTATGTAAACTATAATGTATACAAATATGAAGTTTTTTAGTATCATAACATCTAGTCATATTCCATTATTCTACATACTTACTAATGTTAAATTTCATAATCTTAATTGTTTGTGATTTTAAATATAATCAACTACTTTAATTAGGTATTAACTTAGTACTTCAGACAATATATTTTAATTATTATAGTTTAAGAGATAAAATTTGGGGAATAAAACTAAAGAAATTATCCGTTTATATTCAAAATTAATAATGTAAAATCAAATGAGGATATTAAAACTATAAGAAATTAATTCTGCCTTAATACATTTTGAACAAAGAAAGAAAAAAAGTTAAAGTAAAATAACCGAAAAATATGTAAAAAAAAATATAGGTATGTAGCAGAAATAAAATGTATTTTTAATTATTATTGACTAAAATATTCTTATACTTTTTGTTTATTTATTTTAATAATAAGTAGGATTAATTCATATTTTTTCGGCACACTTAACAACTAAAAATATACTATAATAATTTTATGTCAAGGTGGTAATAAATTACTATAAGTAATCTACCGCATAAAAATTTAGAATAAATATTTTAACACCTCTCTACACAAATCTGATTAATTATTATGAACTTATTATTCATACTGGAATAGCAGAATCTGTATAGGTGATTTTTATAAATAAAACTTTAATAAGTCAGTTAATATTACAGTTTACCTAATATTAAAACTATCAAATTTTAAAACCTATACTAGGCATTAGCTATCTATTGATTTTTTTGAATGGAAACCTTTATTTTTAATTTTCTAAAAATTGTAGAGATACTATTTTGGATACGTAGAGTAGTAATTCACTTTTTTGTAGATAGTTCACAAAAATTTTTTAACCATATTTTGATACTAGTTTCAATACACTGACTGGTTGTAGAATAGTAATTTGATCATTTAAGTGCATCAAATATGATCTCAATGCTCAAAAGAACTAGATCCTGATAAAATCTTTGTAGTTTATAACAATTTCAAAGTTATAATTGTTATTGGTTAATAATACACATAATCATATAATTTGTAAAGTGATAATCAAATAAAAATTTAGTTATTAGATAGGACTCATATTGTTTTTGAAACATTTAGTGAAGAATAAAGGTAAATTATAACCTTATTAAGAACATAATACTAGTAATAGGAAACAATTTTATTACAAACTAAAAAATTGATGTTTACCAAACACCATTTTCTTAGTTAAGAATTTATCTCTTAATAAACTAATTATTTTATTTTTTAGTAAAAATAAATGCAATAGTATCTTAAGAAAAACTTTAAAAAAATTAGGAAGGCTGTATTATGAATATTAAGTATATAATTGGAGGATACTTAAAACCATTGTTTCATATTATGTATGTAGATGATATTATAGTGTTGTTAATTACCTTATTTCTCTTAATTGATATAATTTATTATCTAAGTCGTCTTAACAAGCGTTGTGTATCCTGAGCAATAAATGGCAATGATTAATGCTCGATTTGACAAATGCGTATGTCCAAATAAAATTAACTAGGATTTCTTAATGATTGCTTTCTCACAGACTGCAGAAGTGTCGTTGTAGTAGCAGTAGAAGTATTGTAGCAGTAATCTTAGTAGTAGCAGTAGTAGTAGTAGCGGGTATCTATCGACCGTGATGCTGCTTATACAACGGCAATAGATACATTCAATGCGTGTGTGTTTCCATAACAACTCTTACTGGATATGAAATGACAAATTAGAGACCAACAAATACTAAACAAACTGAAACACCAAAACAAACATAAAAGCGATTAAGGAGTAATTAAAACTGTAGTTAAACTACTGTTCAGATGTAATGGTTATACTAATAAGATTACGTAATGCAATAGGAAAAATTAAAATTAAAATGAAAATTCGCCATCTACTAGGTAGTTATTTTGACTGACCTTGAGCTTATACGAGTAATGCGCAGAAGCGTGGAACAAAATAATCCGAACTAATATTTATTGAATGCAAACAGACAAACAAAATCGCGTCAATATAATAAACTACCACACGTGTGCGCGCGATCGTTACGTAATACCGTACGATGATCTACACTAGTCGTAAGTTATGTAATAAGACACAACGCATTAATATCGGTGAACAGTAATGAATAATGATAATTTTATACTTACCACTGAGTTGGAACGAGCGCGGCTGCGGCGCATAATAGAAAAATTCGAAAAAAAAAAAAAAAGTTAATAAATAATAAAAGTCTCAACGGACGAGTGGCGAGATAAAAGTTAAGTTAATATAAAATCAAAAAGTGAAATTAAATCAAATGAAAAAAAATTGAAATGAAATCCGCGTGTACGTCGTGGGACCGACGGGTTCGTTTCATCTATTGGGCAGTATACGAAGTACAAACTACGAAATCATGACATCAGAATGTTTTCGTTTAGATTACGACAACAGTAAATATGTTTTATCGTAGGTACGCGTCATGACAATACAGTAGTGCACTCACTGGCGTCACTGCACTGTAGTGCGTTACTCGTAATGCGTACCAATATCAAAACACGACTCGACAACGATACGATGGCCACGGCGCGGTGCGCGGACGGCAAAATTATGGCATTACGGCCCGAAGGCGTTCTCGAACAGTAATAATAATAGTAATAATAATAATAATAATAATATTAACAGCCGGTGAATGGGTAAACACGGTTTATGCTCAATATACTGTGTAGCGCATTGCAATTTATATTTATCATTATTTGTATTATTATTATTATTATTATGTACGTCGCATTATTATTTCGTTACGGCACGGTAACGCGATCCCTTTCCGGCGGGGCGGGGTGGGTCGATCGGATGGCAGTGCGTCCGGTGGCCGACGGGCCGCGGGGCCGGTGTGACCAACGCGATTTTGCGCGGCGATTGACGTCATGGGTCGCGATTTTATCATAATAATAATGAATTGTTTATTTATAAATAAAAGTTATTTATTAGCATAGGAGAGAAAAGAGAGAGAAAAAAAAAAGTTGAAAACATTAAAAACAAGCCAGGGGAAGAGAGGACTTACCTTCTCGCGGGTGCGACGGACGGCGGTATTTTTAATTCCCTTTTCCGTTTCTCGTTTCTATAGCGCGCGCGCTGCTGCTCTCTCGTTACGCCGTGTCTTGCCGGTCTGTCCCGTATCCGTCTCCGATTCCGACGTCGTCGGCCTCTCCGTTCTGGGTCTTCCTCAACACACACTGAACCGAACGACGACTGCCTGCGAGCTACTTACGTACCTGCTGGCCGGTGCGGTTGTTTAAACATTTTCGTTTGTGTGTCACAAGTGTTCTTTTATAAGCCCTAAGGTGAGTTCGAATATACATAGGTTGTATATTATATTATTATATTATGCTAAAGCTCGTCGCCGCTCTTCAACTCACTTTCTCGGTACCACACGTCATAATATTATTAACATATCAAGTGGCAACTGCCTTGAACGTGTAATTCTCGTTGTAGCTTACCAGCTACCCGATTCACTGACTACAATAGCCCCGCACTAATGTTTAATAACAACATAGACTACCATAAAGTTTATGCATGGTGATTATCGCGTGCGTTTGTTTTGTTTGTTTGGCGGTCCATCCGTTTTGCGTCCGGCGGATCTGCAGGTTCAAATAATGGCTGATCAAAGGTTCTGTTTGCGGTGGAACAACCACCAGCCTAACCTGGTGAACGTCATGACGGGCCTGTTGAACAGTGAGATGTTCGTGGACGCCACTATCGCCGCCGAGGGCCGGAAAATACAAGTGCACAAAGTCGTGTTGTCTGCGTGCAGCAGTTATTTTCAAGTAAGACCCAAAATCCTTGGAATTAAAATCCTAACCATTGGTTGTGTGCGGTCTTTATAGTTTCTTTCCATTTTCTTACTAATGATTACATCTTAACCATTGATCGAATGTTCTCGTTCTTAGTGGTCCGTTATCGATCGCTGGTGTTTAGATTCAATGTTAAATATATGTTATTGATGACCGACGTTTCTTTTGTGTTGGGCGGCATGCATATATAGTCTTCTATGCTAAATGAACGTGTTATTAATAATGTATACATTATTGGTACTTCTTCAGGTCAAATGAACCAATACTTTATTATACGAGTGTTTGATATTAACTACTGTGCGGCTCAATCACTATAATAGTTGAGTTAAATCGTCGGTAAATAACATAATTTATTATTATTCTAAATAGATAGTAACAAAAATATATAAGGATCTCTACTAATGATTAATTAATCAATTAAATAATGACGTACTGCAGTGAAATAAACAGTCATGTAAACCCATAAGCTTTCCTACAGCAATTAATCTTTGATACAATAATATCACTATTATAATCATACATTAGCATATATGCTTATAAAAGCGTATAAATATTATACTAGTTTTAACATGGTCATAAAATTATTACATTTTGAATTTTTTTATTATTAATCAATATTCAGTTATTTTGATAATTAAAGATATGTATTAATATATTATCTAGTACCTATAAACAAAATATATTTAAAAGATAAATTTTTAAAATAAAAAAAAAACATGACTGATAAGAAATTCTATTGAAACATATTAAATGTATTCAATATACTATAATATTATAGTATATATATTTGTATTATATTGTTATTATTTTTTTCAATGATAGCTAATTTTTATTACTATTAGGTAGTGCGTCAAGATTATCTAAATATTACTTTATCACGTCTTATACATTAGTGTTCAACTTCAGAAATAATCTATATTATTAGATGTTATCTATTATTTATTATAATTATGAATTATTTCAAAGATATCTACATGTCATATTTTATCTTTGACCAATGTCATAAAAAATATATAAAATTGAAACTTTCACTTTTCCTATTTTGTAGCCAAATAACTTAAAATAGGTAAACATTACTCATAAAAATATTTACTTAGATATTAATGTATAGTTATTTTGGGAGAAGTACATACAGTTTTTGGTAAAAATATTAAAGAAATTATTTGCATTCGCTTATTGTGTACAGGGAATAAATTTTATTAAAATTTCCAGAAATTATATATGTTTACCAAGTTATAATATTTTATATCTGATTGAAATATATATATATATATATATATTTATCTTTCATAAATTTTTGTTTAAATTGGTGATAATTTCATTTTTTTTTATTTTACTATCATGTGTTGGTTGTTTTCTTTTGTACATAAAAATGTTGTCATTAGCAAAATAAATATATATATATATATTTATTTTTATAAGAATCCTTAAGTTATAAATTTAGATAATTAATAACTAATAACTAAATGCTTAAACAATGTCTGAATAAAACATTTAAGACAATAAAAATGTATCTAATGTAGTAATTGGTACATTTTTAGTTCTGAGTCAAGTAGTTTTCTTTTTGAATTTTGGGTAGCTAAATAAATGCAATCATAAAACCAACGATTCAATGAATTTATTATGAAATGAAGACATAAAATATGAAAATGTATAATTATTTTTGTTCTGAATTTAGCAAACAAATATTTAAATACATTTTTAGTGCAATAAAATCTATTCTTTAGTTTTAAGTTTAAAAATAAAGACTTATTTAATTAAATACTGGAAAAATATATGTAGGGTATAAATTAGCACTTGATAAATGTTGTAAAAAGTTATGCTTTCTTAATTTAAACATTGCTTAGAAAAGAAAAATGCAAAGAATAGTGCTATGATAAATGCTTGAAAATATTAAGGAGATTTAAAACTACAATTTCCTGCTAAAATGACCTATTTTAAGTATAACATACTGACCTGTTTAATTGGATAATAAAGATTTCTTAACACATTAAGATCCTTGTCTTATCATCTTTTAATTTTACTAATAACTTTTAACAAACTTGAACTTAACTTAGCTATCAGAATGTAAATGTTTATAAATATTTATCAGTAATTTACTTTTCTACATAAGTAAATTATTGATAAAGTAGTTCATAAAAAAAAAAAACATAAGTTTAAATAAGTTTTTAATATCAAATTTGCATCATTGGATCAATTGGTTTAATGAAATAAAGTTGTTCAATATATCCTAAAAAATATTACCTTATAGAACTTTTTGCAATTGGTTGATTTAAATTCATTTAATGACTTATTTTAAACATTAGCTATCAATTTTATTTGAACTTTTGTTGTAAAAAATAATTTCATCGTTTCTTTAAATTAAATGTTTATTTACTGTTATAGATGCTTTTCAACGAAACACCTTGTCAACATCCAATAATCATAATCAAAGACATGTCATATAATCATTTGAAAACATTAATAGAGTTTATGTACTATGGTGAAGTTAACATCTCTCAAGATCAACTCCCAATTATTTTAAAAGTAAATTTTATTGTATTGTATTGTATTAATTAAACATTAATCATTAAAATATTCTAAGGCAGCGGAAAGCTTACAAATAAAAGGGTTGACAGAGAAAACTATGTTTCCCTTTGCTACAACACGACATGCAGAAACTGAATATAGTTTGTTGTCACCCTCGGCAAAACGAAAAAAAATGCATCTCATGAAAACATCCAGTGATAAATCTGAACACAATAGTTCTATTGAAGATATTTCAGTAACTGAACAAGATAATATGTCAACTGTACGTATTTATTAATATACAAATAAATCAATTTTATAAACATGTAATCACTTGTATTTTTTTTATAGAGATCTCAACCTACATCACAAGGACAAGAAACATCAAAACCTATTAGTGTAAGCAAACAATCATCCACAGATAACCATACCACAATTGTTCATCACAAACCTGAGGGTATGCTTAATTATAATTAATATCATTACATTTGTAGTCTAGTACTTATTTACCTTTTATTGATTAGTTTAAGTTTAATATGCAATTTATTTTTGTAAGTTTTGATTCTGTTTTGTATTTAGTTCAACATTTTAATGAAAGCCTTATTTATATCTTTAAAATTAATGTACATAAAAAAGCATGTTCTTTTTCATTTATTATACAGTTTTGTAGGATAATAATTATTTTTGCTAAGCCAATCCAAAATATGAGTAACTATTTAGATGAGTGAATAGTTTCAAAAACGTTCAACCTGTAAAAGCTCACTTTAAAGAGTTGCTTAATTGCATAATTAAATATGTCTTTAAATATATTTCTTCTTGAAAAATTAATTTTTGTGTCTTCTTTTCTTTCCATTTTAAATATCTTATTTATCAGAAATTTTTATTACAAATTACAACATTTGCTAACAGGTTGGTCGTTTTTGGAGCAGCTCTCTGATTGCCCGCCTCACAGTGTCTACGCCATACCCAAAGCCAAAGCAGTATCCAAACCAGAGAATAAAGTACGCAAAAAACGAGAACCTGGTATACGTGAAAGTGATCGTTTTAAAGAAGCTCTTGAAGCTGTACGTGTGGGCCGTATGGGATTTTGTCGTGCTGCTCAAGAGTATGGAATAAATAACCGTACATTGTGGCTTGAATACAAAAAAAAAGGTTATCCTGTTCATCGAAAAGGTCAGTCTTCCTCATCAATTCCTGTACCCTCACCAGCATCATCAATCAATGGCCAATCATCTGAGCAAGTGTATCAAGCACCACTATATGAACCGTCAACATCTCAAACCTCAGCAGTTGATCATCCTGCTTATGTTTCACAAATGTATTCACAGCCTCTGACAGTAATAAACCCATGTTATTATTCTTCACCTGCACCTTCAATATTTTCAACAGACAACCATACATAAATTATGGGTTTATTTATTAAAAAATCATGTTTTTATTTTGTTTCCTTTTATTTTAGTTAATAATTTCACTTTTGCTGGTTTGCACAAATAGTTTATAATATTAATAATTGAACGATTCATTAATATTTAATGATACTTCCATCACAGTTTATATTTTTGTATGTTTAAGGGATTGTTAAGTATTTAATGACTCGTTAAATCTCTTTTAAACAGATGATTGTGCAATCTGGTGGTTAATCTTAAATTATTTATTTGTATAGAAATTATGATTATAAAATATTATTAGGTTTAATTTGATTTGTATAACAAAAATATTTTCAAATGTAATGTATATTGAAATATAAACTAATGTATTTTGTATATTTGTTGTGTTTATTTACCTTGAATTTGATAAACAATGATGATAATAATAATAATTATAATAAATTTAATTAAAATTAAAAGTGCTGACAGAAAATATTAAAAATGGATATTTTAATTTTCCAGTTACTAAACGAATTAAGACTCTAGTACGTCAACCTCATATAAAAATCAATGATAGTGAAATGAGTACAGATACTTCAATAGTTAAAAACGAAATAAGTGATGAATCTGAACCAGTGATCCGGGTACTTGAGAGGCAGTGTTCAGAGCCTAACCCATCATCGACCAACTCATTAGCTGTTCCTAAACCAACCATAGTCAAACAAATATCTCAGCCATCTGAACCCAGTTCAACAGCTAGAGGCTTCTACAATGACGAACTGCCCACTAGTGTATCACAGGTAATCTTTACATTGTGTATTAATATTATTTGCAACATATGTTAGCATAATATTATGAATGCTATAATTGTTAATGAATATAAACTACATTATAGATAAACACAAATGATTCTTATAACGGATCAACACGATCTGATCATTGTCCATTGTTACGTTCTGGACCAGCACTTGGATGCAGTTTCTGTTGGAACACAATAGACACCCGTGGAAGGTTTTTAAGACGTAAAACTAAATATCACTGCCCTGAATGCAATATAAACCTTTGTTTGGTTCCTTGTTTTCAGGTGATTATTCAATTAAATATAATACAATCATTATCTATGATACTAATCTATTTAATTTTTGAAAAAAAACTATTATATATTTTTTTGTTAAAATATACTTTTCATTTGTTATTATTATTCATTATTTACTTTTTAATAAGAAATATGTTAGTCATTTCTCAAACAATTTCTTTCAATGCCACTGTATTTGACAAATTAAACTTCTTTGTATTCTAATATTGTATTATCTCACCTCTGTTTTCATTTTTTTTTTATGACAATAAAATCTATGTATAATTTTGCATGACATTTATTTATTTTGTCATTCAGGAGTTTCATGAAAAACAAATTCAGACAAAATCCACTGATATTCCTACAATAGATCATCCTCGGAATCAAAAGGTGACAGAAGACGCAGCAGTATAATCATCACCCGTGATATCAATTTATTATAACTCAAAATATTTAACAAAACGTTACCATTTGCTACTACTTAAGAAATTGTTCTAATTTTATTTTAGTCTAGAACAAAATGATACATAATTATTATTATTATAAATATATATTTATTATATATTTTATGTGTTCAAGATTGTTATTTTTTCAAAGTTGAATAATTTACCATCACTTGTGAAAATATAAAACATTAATTTTATTTATAATGTAACCTTGTTTATTGTTATTTTTACCTTGTTAGATATTTTAAGCATGGTTTCATCAAAATAAGATAAGCTAGAGTACTCAGATTACCAACGTCTAACAATCACCATAATATAGGTTTAATTTGATATATTTATTAAATTTTTAGGCTTGTTTAATGAATAATTTGATGTGAATTGTTATACTTGTTACATTTTTAGTAAAATTTATTGAAAATTTTCTACATTCTACCATAATCCATGAAAACAAAAAATGTTATAGTATTAGAATTTTTTGTTTCAATATTATAAACTAGTCGATCTGCATGGCATTACCTTAACCAGGGTCTAAAATATCTGTAAAATAGCTGTAAATAGGGGGGGGGGGGTAATAAGAATTATAGGTGTTTTTTTTCTCATTAACAAAATTTTTATTATGTATTTATAATTAAAGGGCCTGTCCAACTGTGGTGAGAGCGCGGAGCCCCGCTCTGCTCGTAACTAATTGATGACTTCAGTTTGTATACTGAGTATCAAAAAAAAAAATTTCTAACCCAGAAATGTTTTTCATATTTAGGTCTTTTTAATTTTCTTAAGGGATGAATTTGGAAAATCTCTCTTTATGGGTCTCTACATCATAAAATAAAACTACTTATCAAATATCACTTTAAGTTTCAGCAGTACTAGTGGGTGATGATAAATCTAAGTTAATAATTGATAAAATTATTTAGTTACTTTGTAATAAAGGCTACAATTATCAATCAACTCAACAAATGTTAATTTTATTAAATTTATGTAAAATAACGTAGAAAACAAGTTTAATAGTTTGTAGCTAAATGGATAACTATGATCTATTTGAAACTATAACTTGCAATACATATCTATTACTTTTTTGCCTTTGGAGAAGTACAATTGTGCTTAGGCACACTCATCTAAAAATTGTTTTTAAATAATCATACGTATGTACTTATACTATTTTTGTTTAGAATTTAATTTCTTTATAAAAACAATTTTCAATGTTCAGTTATTTTAATATTAAATCATAAGAATGCAATTTTGTACATCTTTAATGCTAATTTTACTTAAAATATTAGCAAGGATAAAAGGTTTGATATTTATTCATAAGTCACATAATAGTATAGTATTGATCACATTTCAGTTGAGGATTTAATAATGATCTATAATTATCCAAATTCCAACTTTAACACGAAAGTAAGAAATTGTTAACTTTTTATAAATATTGATGAAGTACATAATACTATTAGATTAAAACTACAAAATAATGTATCACGTAAACTGTCAACATCAACAAGATTTTTGATATATGCCCAGAGTATTCAAGGATGTTAAGGAAATGTATAATAAACAATATTTTATGAATAAAAAAATTAAAAACTTATTTTGTTTTAATTCAAATATACAATGTATATTTAAAATAAATGAAATAATAGATGGAAATTAACGATTAGACTTGGCCACACGCTCGAGTTCATCTTTTTTCTTGATAGCATAAGAATTCGACGATCCCTGTAAAAAAAAAAATTATTCATTTATTGTTTAATCAACCCAAGTATAGTTTTAACTAACCTTAGCAGCATTGATCAATTCATCAGCTAAACATTCAGCAATGGTCTTGATATTTCTAAACGCAGCTTCTCGGGATCCCGTACACAACAACCAAATGGCTTGGTTGACACGTCTTAATGGGGAAACATCAACAGCTTGACGCCTGACTGTACCAGCTCTACCAATACGTGTGGAATCTTCTCGTGGTCCGCTGTTAATAATGGCTTTGACAAGCACTTGTAATGGATTTTCACCAGATAACAGGTAGATAATTTCAAAAGCGTGTTTGACAATGCGAACAGCCATCAATTTCTTTCCGTTATTGCGTCCGTGCATCATTAAAGAGTTGGTCAAACGTTCAACAATAGGGCATTGAGCCTTACGGAAACGTTTAGCAGCATAACGACCAGCAGAATGAGGAACATATTTAGCATACTTTTCTTTGACGGCAATGTAATCCTATAAAGTTGAAATGTTTCAATTACTAATGTCTACTCGATAATAACTTGATTACAAATCATATACAAATTAAATTAAATTGTATCATACTTGTAAAGACATATCAGAAACTTCAACATCATCACAACTCCATCTGCCAAATAATTTCACTTCTGGTAATTCAGCCGCAATTTGTACAGGGGCTGAATCTACATTAATTGATACTCCAACATCTCCCCAGTCTTCGTCAGCCATGATGATTCTAAAATGAAAAATAATTTAAAACACTAAAAAAAAAAATTAGGGAACTAACTATCAAAACAACAAAATTATCTTGTTTTTATGAAATTAAATAAATTAAATAAAAACACTAATTTTACAATCATAAGATTGTATAACAGGTCTTAAAATTGTATTTATGAAGATATTAAAAGTAAGATCAGTATTTACACTACTAAAACATTAGTTCTAGGGGAAAATCGCGTTAGACAGAAATCTTAATAGAATGCAAGTCAAATCACTCGGCTGACAAAGTTACTCGTAAATAAAATTATTAAAATAACGAATACAATATACCTATCTGGACTAAGGGCCTAGTTTTAGAAGTAAATTGAAAAATCAAACAAATTACCTGCTAGGGACAATTCAAAAAATGGTGGAACAGATTTGTGAATACCAAAGCACACGATTTTAATGAAATCACAATAAGTACGTCAAGGAAAAGTTAGTAAGTTTAGATTCAACAGATTTAGAATTTGTCGTGTTTTGAGGTTAGCCATGTGTAATTATAATAGTTAACTTTTGTCATAGTCACCAATTCTATAGAAAATTTAGCAGAACTGCCGAAGCCGACATTAATATAGTTCAATGAGGCGTATTTATAAATAAATTCCTTACTTGTGTTTTCCTTGCTGATCAAATCGAAAATTTTCCGAATCCGGAAGGTCGGAACGCGGAGAAGCTAAACAATAATTCCAAACGAAAGAGAGCGGTCGTGGAAACGGCGACGGAACACGGCGACGAGGCGATATCGCGACTTCGCCGTATTGGTTACACTGTGACAGAATACATCAGGTTTGCAGTGTCGCCAACAAACAAGCATTAACCAAAGATGATTTAGATAGTTGTGTTGTGGTCCTTTGCAAACCGCATCGAGATAAAGAATAAATATAACAGATAATAGATTATGTATTCCTTATCACAATTTTCGATAGCTGCTTCGTACGCCGATCTCGTGTTCAATGCACTTTGTAATTCATAATTCATAAACTGTCGAACTAAGATATTTTAGGACTCAGTTTGTGGAGTACCGTTTACATCAGGATTTTTGAAATTATGTTCTGATCTCGTAGCAATCTGGAAAATTAAACATTGTAAATTATTTAATAGTTTTTTTTTCATTCGTCATGTCTTTAGCAGAACCCAGAAAACGACGAAAAAATGCTATACAAAGTATTAATTTGTCGGCCCCAAATCACTGGGCAAATGGTAACTATTGTTGAGCACTATTATTTTTTAATGCTATTATTATAAACTATATCTGATATAACATTATACCGTTGCTTTTATCTTAAAACTATTTGAACCTCTGCATTTTTATTACCTATGTCCTACATAATTAGACTTTTGTTAATTTTAATCAGATGATTCAAAATTTGGTCAGCGGATGCTTGAAAAATTTGGTTGGTCTAAAGGATCTGGTCTTGGAAAAAATAAACAAGGAATATCAGAAAATATAAGAGTTGAACACAAAGTTCACCCTACAGGTAATTAATTTAAGTTATTATTGTCTTCAAATTCACCACAACCCACTCATAAAGAACTTCTCCTTCCTAACTATGCCTGGAAACTCTAGATGTCATCTAAAAAATAACTGGTGCCGTAACTTGTTACAAGATAAAATATAGATAACAGACAACAATCCCCCTGGTCATTGTCTTTGATAAGTGACTCAAATTATTAATGAATAAATATTCTATCTTCTCATAAACTCAATGTGCTAAAAACTATAGATTGTGTATCTAACTAAATGATTAATTATTTTATAATTAAATATGAATTACAGGTCTTTAATATAGTACAATACTTAAAAAATATTAACAATAAGATGTACTAACTGTATTAATTTATTACGTTTTATCTAGCAATTCGCCAAGATATTTTACTACATTTAAAAAAAAAAAGAGTATTAGAAAATATTGTATCTTCATTTTTCAATTATATCAATATGTATAATTTTCGTAGGACTAGGATTTATAGCAAATAATGCAGATGATTGGTTCAAAGCAGGCGAAGATTATTCACGCTTATTATCTCAGTTAACAGAGAAGTTTGACCAATACCAAGCACTATCAGAATCAAATAGAGATATATCTTCTAAAAAATCACTTGTTCAAAATTCACTAAATTCAAGATCAAGAGTACAGTAAGTATTAAAAAACAAAAATGTTTGTTTAAGATTTAAATAGTTTTTATTAATTCCATTAATAATTAAAAAATATTAATAAGTCAAAATGTCACACGTCACAAAATATGTTTTTATTTGTTAAACTGTAATGATATCTGTAAAAGTAAAAATTATATAATTTTAGAACGATTAAGTTTTATTAAATAATTAGGATTGATATAAAATTATGATGGAATAATTAAATTAATAATTGAACTATTGCTTAGCAAAAAAATATCTGTTTTCAATGTTGATATTAAACATTTACATAATACACATTATGAGGAAAACATTAATTTATCTGTCAAATATTTTAAAAAGCAAATTGTAATCAAATGTTGTTAATTTTTTAGTTTTTAATATGTAGATTACTTAAAATTAATATTCATGGATTTATTAATTTAAATAAGTTATTTCTAAAAATACTAAACTTTTCAGAGATTTACCTATTGTAAATTTTAATAATAAAATTTATTCTTAAGGAATTCTTTTTTATATATTTTTCTTATAATGTATACTTTCTAAATTTATTTAGATATATTTTGTAGAAACTTTGACTAATGAACTCAAACTTTTCATTCCCATATCAGACATTTTACCTATAGTGGAATTTGTATTTATTTATTCCAATTAATATTAAGTTTTATATGTATATTAATATTTTTGCATGAAATATATTAGTAATTTATTATGTTTTTCAGTTACCACAAATTTACCAGGGGAAAAGATTTAACGCAATACAAAAGTGAAGAATTGACATGCATATTAGGAAAAGGTGTTAAAGATAACGATGAAAGTTCAAATGGTTTAAATATGAAAGAATATTTTGAATCCAAAAAAGAACGTAAAAATTTACAAACAGATAAACATGATACATCATCAAGTGGTGAAGATTGTACAATTATTAATAATAATAATATGGAAGAAGAAACTGCTATAAAAGGAGAATCGGAAACCGAAGAACTTGAAGTAAATACTACGCTATTGAAAAAAAATAAACGCAGAGCCAAACAGCTAAAAGATACTGAGCTTATATCTACAAATTCAGATGAAATTCAGTTAAAGAAAAAAAAAAAAAAAAATGAAAGAACTCGCCTGTGAAAAAATTGATGATATTGAACTGTCAAAAAAAAAAACTAAGAAAAATAAATTACCCATCAACGAAAATGTAGATGAAGTGTCAGAAGAAGATGACTACAAAACAGTAGTTAAAAATGATGCTGATGAACAAGACTCAGAATTGGTTTTGACGAATAAATATCAAAATTTAGTTGATCTTTTAATAGAGAACAGTTCTGCTGGTACTACATTTTGTAAAGATTCATCATTGAGTCCTTTGTTCCAAAAAAAAATAAAAGAGTTTGCTGATAGTGTTGCACACCAATGCTCGACCACAGTTGGTTCTACTGAAGTAAAACTATCATCAAAAAAAGAAGCATCTCCTAAACCAATAACTTTGAATCCGGATGCTGAAAATTTTGTTAAGGACTTTGAGGAACAGAAATCAAAATCTCTTGAGATTATATCTAAACGTCAAGAAATGGCAAAGTATGTAAATGAAAAATCAATGTTTATTGCCAATCACGGGGATGTGTTATTCTTTGGTAGTAATATAAATGATATCAAAGGCTATGGTGAATGGTAAATTAAATTTTATAATAAATAACAATATTCTTCAATATTTATTCTGTTAATTATTTCAGAAGTTATTACAAATAAAAATATAATAAAAAATAATATCAATTTGTGTTTGTTATATTTTATAAGTTTTTGGTGCTGATGATGTGAATAAAGTGAGAAGCGCAGTCATAATACTGACTAAGATTGTTTTATAATTGAATAAAAGTGTTTCTGACCAAGAAAATTGCATATTCTGTTTGAGCAGCCACACAATTCTACCATACTCCTTGAATCTCATCTGTAACCAGTTAATTTAAGGTTTTTTGGTGATTCAAGTATTGATAAAGGTGTATCTACCTAAAGTTGTGTTTATGACATCTGTATTAAAAAAGAACTATCAAGTTTTTGCGAGTTTTAGCATCATATCACTTGAAATACCAATTTTAAAATTTATAAAGCCATATAGAAGGTACCTATCAATTTATTTTTTATTGAAACACTTAAGAGGAGACCACATCCTCATGTTTTGTCTCTGTCTTACATAACTATGTATAACAAAGCAAATTTCTGTTTAACATAATCTATCTTATGTGATTAGCTTTAATATTGTAGTAAAATTACCTATTATCAAACTTAAAAGTAATAATATTATACAGGCTATCTCATAGACTTATGAATATTATCATTTTAAAGTAAATTATAGTTATTTGAAATGTTCATGACTCACTTTAAAATTATAATAATTTATAAAAGTCTCTAAGATGGCCTACATAATAGACTTACCTTTAAGTTTGATAATAGATAATTTTACTTCAATGTTAAAGTTAATAATATAAAATGGATTCTTCTGAATGCAAATTTTTTATGTTGTGTATATATGTAGTATGTAAGATGGAGACATCACATATGGATCTGGCATCATCTTAAAAGGTTAAATTAATCCAAGGATGAATGTAATATTGAATACTGAAGTTTTAATTAGTATAATTATGAACATTATAATTGTAAGAATATTATTCTCATAAATGTAAACAACAATGTTAAGGAAATGCTATCTATAAAAAAAAAAAAAAAATACATTGCTATTTCATCTTCAATTGTGTAGTTCATTTTACGTGACAAATATATTGTGTAATTGAATGTCATAATTAAGCTATAGTATGTGTTAGCCTAATAGAAAATTTAATAATTAAATAGGTATTTTTTGATTATATTATTAATTCCAAATGTAATATAAAGGCTTTGAATTTCCTTTTTGCTCTCTAAATTGTATTAATACTAATACATATGTAACTAAAACAGAACAGACCTATAAAAATAAATAAATATTTATTAAATACATCTAAATGTAAGCGTAGGTGTTAATAAAAATTATGTTTGATATGTAACTTAATAATATCAACTCACACTTCTAACGAGACTCATGTTGAATATAATAAAACCTCCAATTGACGCAGTAACGTTTCTTATATTTGCTCGGATATAAAAAATGTTGAGCTAAATAAGTAAACATTTGAAGAATAAATTATTTTTTTTACATGGGTAGATGAGTAAATATATAGGTACGTAACATTATACATAGATATAAGACTAACCACTTTTTTAATTTCCATGTTCATGTTATATCTGTTGCGAAGCTTCAGTTTTTCTAGACTCGCCAAAATTCTTTTAGACTAACAAACAAATAACAAAAATTATTTTACTTTTTAAATATTCAGTTTTTAATGTTTTTGTACAATATATTAATAATATATCAATTCAAAATTATATTTTTAGCATGTTGAAACCTGAAGATCATTCATTTAGTGGATCTTCGGATAGATCATAGCCCATAAGTACCTATTCGAGTTAATTCAATAATTTCAACAGCAATTATATTTTAAGAAAAAAAAAAATTTTAATATGAACATTGAACATATTCAAAAAATATAGGTAGGTAGGTACTAAAAAATGTCCGCTCCAAATCTTAGACGTGCAGTACTGCATATTATAGAATAGATTGTTGAACTAATTTCTAATATAAAATTACAGATTACAGTTATACATTTAATTGATTTTAAAAATGTATGACTTGCGTTCAAAACCATCACAATCAAATACGACGCAACAAGATACGTAAGTTCATAAATTACGTATATTTATTACATAAATACATTTATTCAAGTCTAAATAATAATACTATTATACAACAGACACTTTTACAGTATCATTCGAGTATCACTGTTTGAGGATACCTAATGTTTGAAAATCATAGGTATCTATAGCGGGCAAGCGGAATATGAACTATTTGATATTAAATTATTTATTTTTAATTACTAAATGGAATTTATTATATAGTAAATCAACTAGGAACATACCATCTCTATCATAGTACCCTCCTATCGGTGAAATTCAACTGACCAGTGACCTATTTGTTGTATATAAAATATTATATAATATGCTAGCAGGTTGTTTCTACATTCTCGTGTTATATTTAACTGAGCAAATTAAATTTATTATTATTTATTAGTAAGTAACTGATAAACCGGTATAGTAATTATACTATTTGGCTATTAATTATAATTATATAATTTACTTAATCTACTTAATCTATTGTCTATACTATACCTACAAATTTTTATGTGTGATTATTCTAGATAGTATTTTGATAGAAAAATAAAATTCGACCTGACTTAAAATCATGTCTAATATCTACAAAAGCGACCAATAAAAGGAGTTCATAGCTCTGTCTCTTTTTTCTTGCGTATTATATATATTATTATTATTTTATTATGTTTGGTGAATTCGACTGTTCACATTTGAGAACATCGACGAGTATTTAAAAGTCTAGCAACTCGCATGTACCTACAGTACATCATTTTGAAATACAGTCTTTTTGCACTTAGCTGGTATCTACCTACTACCTACCAAAGTACCTACCATTTACCAACTATAATATAAATGCAATAAGGCCGTTGAAGGTATTACTAAATTTTCTTATAGTTATCCATTTCTCCAAACACGATAATTATTTAAACTAAAGTGACCCAAGTTATTATTGAATTAAATTACATTTTACACTATTATAAAGACATTCTACTGAATAATACTAATTTTTTTTTTTAGTTATTTGTACGGTGCATTAAAAAAGCTACACTGGCAGACGTCAGATTCAGTGACTTTATTGGGATGTTGCATTACCTATTACGTCTAGTCTACAATACCCCAAAATTTTCAAAATATCGTTAATAAACAAAAAAAAAAAATAAATATTTTTTTTCGCATCAAATATATTTAAGTTTTTGTTCTTAAAAACGAGTCATGCTGCAATTCATCATGTTATAAATATCTTGAATTGTGTATAATTTATAATTTGCTGATAAGTAAGTAGAAGTGGGCATAGGCAAACACGTTTAATGTTATTTATATTTAATTCAGAATACTAGCCTTAGCTTTTAGTTTATTTAGTTTAACTATATTTTGTTGATGAATTTTTTTTTCAAATGTTGATGACCCTTTTACACACGCACCATGTTGCATTACAAAAAGTTAGCAACACCAAAAATGCAGTGGTGAAAAAAATCACGCGAATGTGGAGCCCCCCCCCCCCCAGACGCCAGTGTGCCAGTGCGCTTTTGGTACAATAATATTGCATATAGGCACCTCGCCGGACAGGCGGTCGCCGATAGTGCATAGCCACATCGTGTGCACCACGAATATGAACAGCTCGCCGAAGTGCTGGGCCATCAGATAAGGCGTGAACGAGGCCATGGGGCCGTCCTGCGTGGACGCGATCTCCAGCAGCCGGAATATGACCATTATGACGCGGATGATGTTGTAGACCCACTGCAAGAGCATTTCGGGCGCGTAGGCCCGGTTCACGTGGCCGGTGAGCGTGCACAGCTCGTCGTAGACGCCGGCCAACCGGGTCAGCGACCGGCCCGCGGACGCCGGGTCGCGGGCCACGTCCAGCGCCTCGACCATGTCGCTGACGCGGCCGAACCCGCGGGCCAGCACGTAGTACTGCACGAACACCAGCATGTAGACGGTGAACTGGCACATGCCGTTGAACCAATACGCGGCCACCACGGCCGGCGACACAACTAGCATGTACAGCTGCGTCAGCGAGGCGTACGCGGCCAGAGACGCGGGCCCGACGTACCGGACCGCCCGGGACAGGCCCTGGCGGACGGCCGGCGCCGCGTCCCGGGTGTCGTCCAGGAACCGGAGCGTCCGCTCGGCGCCCGCCAGCCCGGCGATCTTGTGCCACCGCCCGTAGAACATGGAGCACACCACGTTGGACGACGGGCCCACGTTCCGGTTGAGCAGCTCGATCAGCGCGAAACAGTACGACTCCCGCAAGCACGTCCGGAACGAGCCGGCCACGTACCATAAACCCTCCAAGTAGTTGTAATACACCACGAACGCGTTCAGACACGCGTACAGCATCCACACCGGTATCAGCCGCTTGTCGAACGAATACAGGTATCCGCCTGCGCACGACAACCAGCGCACAGCGATGTAAAATGTAAATGATAATATAATATAATATTATTGTAGGTATATGATATTATAGACGAGTGGTTTTGTAAAAAAATGGACGGGAAAACTTGGCAAACTTTAAATTCTACACTAAAATATTATTATATTACGATTAACTCGTTGTCGACTGTGAGCTTATCGCTTTCGTCGACGCGGCGAATTGATCGTAATATAAAATATATCAAATCATAAGTACTCGTATAATAAACGTACATCTCAGTCCGCACACAATACAATATGTCAAGTAGATTGGGTACAGGTACGTATTACTATTGATCCGTTGGTTTTATAATAAAAAACATTGATGCTTGTTTTGACGTATACATTTGAATATCACGCTTTGTTTCTGTCGATCGCTCGTTTTTTATGCTTAAGCTGTTTACTATATCTAAAATCTATTCTAGTATATATTATATATTTGAATTTATAGAATTGATCAGCGCTATTTTACAGTCTGACTGATGTACGGTTGTATTGAAGCTATAGGCATATATTTTAATATAGCTAATGCGTAAAAAAAATATTAATACATAATGAATATAATTAAATGATATTGACTACCTACCGGCTAAATGTTCTATGTTCCCATTGGGGTCGAAATCTTCTTTTATTTTCCTGCGTGTGTATGGCAGTCCAAAACATATGGCCATCAAGTGGGTCAATTTTAAGTACTCGTAACTCTCGTAGTTATTCATTTTAATTTTCGACGATAAAGTTTAATGAAAATAACAATAAAAAAACATATACTCGTATAGGTATTTGAGGAAAAACGATATTTTTTAAACTATACCATAATAATATTGTTATAATATTGTTTCTATAATAAATCGAATAAGTGAATTGTGTATATATGCTTAGACTGTGTTTACTATATACATTATAATTATGGAATAAATGTTATGTCATTTGTCACCATTAAATGTGTTATAAGGACATAAGGTAGTGTATTTTATTATATGTACAAAGCAATTTCTTTAAGTGTATTGTGAGTAGGTACTACTCAGACAAAAAAAAAATAAAAATAAAAATAAAAAGAGTATCAAATCAATTCAAATAAAATCTATTTATTAAAGTATCTAGGTTCCATAGCTATGAAATAATTAACAGAACCATCTCTCAACCTTGGTAAACTGAATTAGTTTAAATTTAGAAAACTATAGTTGCTAACAAAAAAAGCTTTAAAACTCTTTTTAAAAATTACTTTTAAAATAGACAAAATTGTTCATCTTACTATAGCTTTACCTGCCAAATACTCTAGTCTAGACAAAGTCATGCACATCATTAAAAACTTCCAATTAAAAAAGCTCCTGATCAACAACTTTTAGCTAAAAATCTCAAATAC